TGCTTCCAGCCCTTATTCAGGCACTCGTTTACTTCAGGTCTCAAACTGCAGAGAACAACATAATGAACTGGAAACTGAAATAAATGTAGTAGACATAGTGTTTAAACATAAGCTTAAATTTTCATAACTGCAGTAGAACCCTGGCGGGTAACTCGAACTCTCAAGGGAAATGAAAAGCAGTTCAGGTTTATTAAGTAGGGAATTCGAATTTAATCAGGGTAAATTTCAGTGAAATTTTGATCAACTTGAAAAAAGCCGAGAATGTGAATGTTTTTAAGCACGGTCTACTAGTACTGAACATAAGTTTTATACCTGTAGTTATAATATAATAATTGTAGTTAAACATTGTGACTGAAAAGCTGAGATTGAGAGTTACAATAAACGTATGCATGTATGTATCAAGGGAAAGCAAATTTAGTTCGAGTTAGCTGGCAATTCACACAAATAACGTTTATTTTTGAATAAAAGTCAACAAGTGGCTTATTTTTAGGAAAAAAGTAAGGTGTTGTGTTACAATGATCGGTTAAAAAAATACAAAAGTTTGTATAGGATCGCAACTGATTTTATTTTTAAAAAAATGAAAAACATGTAACGCTTATTTTTGAATAAAAGTCAATTTATCTTCTTTTGATGTAGCATTCCTCGTCTTTTATTTACATTTTTGCCCCATTTCTGCTGATCTTGACGATTTGACACAGTGGAAACTCTGTCCACAGTAAATTGTTGTGAATGGCAGAAATATTGGGGCAAAAATGTAAATAAAAGATGAGGAATGCAACACTGAAAGAAGGTAAGTTAACTTTTATTCAAAAATAAACGTTACATGTTTTTCATTTTTTAACTCGTGGGTACGCGCGAGCGTACCACGAGTTATTGCAGGGACTGAGATATGCAAATGAGTCACTCACTCACTCGTAGTAGACGCACTTCGTAATTAATCGGGTCCGAACTCGAGAGCGCGAAGATCTATCGTTTCCAAATAAGCACGCGCTCGCCGAAGTTCGGTAGCATCAAATTCCTCGCTGCGAGCGTGCATCGTGCGCTACTCAGCACGGTTAGGATAGAGGTCTTACCAAATTTAAGACAGGCAGGAATCTTTCAAATTAGTACGATTCAAAAGCCTTTGACCCGTCCAGGCGTTAAACTTAACAAGAAGATGAGCATTTGCTCTTCAACTCCTTCAACTTCAACGCTGGCTTGATCTCGTACCTTGTAGTACTGTAGTAGGTTATGTGTATGAATGAATTTATGGCGGTCAGTATAAAACACGGAATGCGAACTACGGACTGCGGACTGGGTATAAAATACGGACTGGTGAAATGTATGGTAAATAAAGGCACTTCTTCTTCTTCTTCTTCTTCTTCTTCTTCTTCTTCTTCTTCTTCTTCTTCTTCTTCTTCTTCTTAAGGACTCCCCAAGATCACGGGGGGAAATGGATGTGAGTTTGAGCATTACCTTTTTAAAATAACAGCGGATGTCGAGATAAGAAAACATAAGCTAATGTTTTGCGTCGTACTTCGCGGAGGAGTTGTGTCGGCTTTGTATCGCATATGTTCTTTCATTGCCATGAATTTCGTTTACATTGTTTTTTACTGTCAGTAGCCTGGTTTCAATTAGCCTTAATTTCATCCCATTGCTTCGAGTCGTTTTTATGGCTCGATCGTTGGCCCCGGTCGTTTGCCGGCGGAAGTTCCATCTAAAAGGCATTAAATTTGAGGACATATTATGTGACATCCTCAATGACGTAGTGGCTATGTGAGGTCGGGTCAAACCGAAGGTACCGGGTTCAAATCCTGCTAAATACCTTCTTTTTCTCTTCTTCCTTTTTTTTTTCTTTTTTGTTTTGTCTTGTTTGCTTATTTGTTTTGCTGTTTTTTTTGTTTTGTTTTTAAATATATACTTAAATAACTGTTACTAAAGTGCAATAAACAGCAAGAAAAGTATTGTGTTTCCAGAACAAGGATAGTATATTTATAATATGAATTTCTATCATTTCCTAAACTTCACTGTGGGAAAACCAGAGGTGATAACTAATTGATTATTTTCTAAACAACGTACCCACGAGTTGACGATAGTCTTTCTTTGATTAAAAAATAAAATCAGTTGCGATCCCATACAAACCTTTGTAATTTTTTAACCGATCATTGTAACACAACACCTTACTTTTTTTCTAAAAATAAGCCATTTGTTCTTAAGTTAACTGAATGACTTTAAAGTTTTTGCAATTATTGAGAATTCCTAGGAATCCAATAAATTCTCATTTGTGTTCAAGCAATTCCCAATAATTCCCATAAATTCCAAAGACAGTTTCCTTAAGTTTAACTTGGAATTATTGGGAGGAGTTCCCAAAAATTCCCACTGGTGTTTCCACCCATTCTCAAGTATTCCCAGACATTCCATTTTTTATTGTCTTTGCTCATTTGCATATGCCTTGGAATAAATTGGAATTCCTAGGAATTCTTAGAACTCTGGGAATTCATTTCCCAAAGGGGTCACATTTCTCACTGTCATGCGTACTATATCTATGAGTCATCTTTGCCCGTGAACACTTATGAACACTTTTGGCCTGTGAACACGAATCAGACTAATCACAAACTGCATAAGAAACTATACCCAATCCAAAACCCCTACATATGCGTTCCCGCGACTCTGCTAGATTCAAACACAATGTTGTGCGCTAATTCGCACAAGAGTGTCTGCATCACAGGCTATATGCAGTCACCTAAAACGAGCAAAAGTTAGGTGCTAGGGGCCAGGGGGCACTTTTTTTTAATGTGTACATAAATGTTAAGTTTTGGTCATTCTTTATTGTAGTAGTCAACAAATCGACCTGCTAGCACCAGGTAAAGACAAATTTGGAGTTCCTAATTCTAAAACAACAGAGGGATTTCTGCATAAAGTAGTGAGGTTTAATCCTCCTTCTCCTCCTCATCCTTCCTTCTCCTTCTCTTCCTCTGCCTCCTCTTTCTCCTCCTCCTCCTTCCTCCTTTGATCTTCTCCTTCTCTTTTTCCTTCTCCGATTCTCCTTGTTCTTTTCCTTTTTCTTCTTTCTCACCCTCCTCCTTCCTTCTCCTTCGCCTTCTCCCCTAGGCTAGTTTATCTGTCTTTTATAATTTTTGCCATTAATTAAATTTGTTTTTGTTCAACTCTGAACTTTCCTTTTTACCTTCCTGACCCAAAGCATGTAAGACTCTGCCTCCCGATAAAACTAAAACTTAACCTTACAGACAGAAAATAGTAAAGCACAGTGTGTTTGAATTAAAACAGGTTGCATATTTTTAGACATTAGCTGTAACAATTGTGTCCTGTGTCAAAACTAGTGTAGGTTTTTTGTATATTTTTGTCACCTTTTATTATTACATAACCATTTTTAGCATTTTATGTTAAATGTCATGGGGCAACAGTTTTTAATGTCATTTTTGTTAATTTAACTGGGAAATAGTGTTTTGACTTTATATGTTTTTTTAAAATAGTTTTTAATGTCACTGGGCAAAAGCTTATTTTAATATTGATGTTGTAGATGTAATATGCAATTGAGTATATATATATAATTATTTTTTATCATATAGTGTCTCCAATTTATTAGTGTGTAAACACTACAACGACTGACACTTTCATAAAGTTACTTACTTACCTACCCCCCAACCCCCCATCCCCTCAGACAAACATTAAATTTGCTTCTTCACAAGAACATTAATGCCTCTACAATAAAAGATTTTCCAAATAAAATAACATTTAAGCCGTTCTTTTACAACAAAAGTACACTGTACCAAGCATTACTGATGGGGGAAAATGCAATGTTTCTTCTCTATATCTAGAAAAACTAGACATTTTGTTAAATTACCGTAAATCCTCTATTAAGCCTCCCAAGAGTTTATTTTTCAACTAGCAGTTTTAGCCCTTTCACTGCCAAATGTAGCTTCAGGCAAATTTCGGCCAGATTTCCAAATTTCACTTTCTAAAATATTGAAAAAATAATAGCACCATGTGTAAGTACAGGCAGAGAGCTTTCATTTGAATGGTCACATCATAGGATTTCATCTGCAGACTCAAAAGTTAGAACTACATACTAAATAAATAGTACCATGTGAAAGTACTGCTGAAGAGGTTTCATTTGAATGGTCACATCATAGGATTTCATCCACAGGCTCAAAAGTTAGAGCTACCTAACAAAACTCCATCAAGCGCTCTGGCAGTGAAGGGGTCAAGGGAGGGGGGGAGGGGTTAGTAGAGAGAGAGGGGCTAATTTAATTTAGTCGTGAAATGGGCTGCCAGTATTGCTTTTCCAAATAAAAAGCAGATGGGATCATTTCCTAAGAACTACTGTTCTCAGATAAAAACAAGGTCATGCAACTGAAGTACAAAAGCAAATCTGAACTTCCAGTACTTGCATAAAACATTACACGTCAGTTTATTTACAGTAGCTAAGGCTTGGCAAGGACTGAAAGTTCTTATTAGCTTGTATCTTTTCTTGTGTATTTTTCCCCTTTTTTCAGTGGGGGCGGGGGGGGTGTTGGGGGAATGAAGCATATGCTACTGTACTTAGTCGACCATAAAGTGTATTGTGGGTTATGAATGTAATTACCATTGTGCTTGTCGTCTGCTACACAGCCGTTTTAAGTGCTCTTAAAACGGCTGTGTAGTAGACTATTGTACTTGTTGTTTAGATTTAATCTTGATGTAGAGCAGTGGAGTATTTATTGGCATCATCTGTAGATACAGCATGCGATTCCAACTGTAACAACTGTAGTCCTTGTACCTTTAAGTTTAAAATGATTACTCCGCGTACTGTATGATAATTTTTGTACATCGCTTGTTTTACCATGATGATACAAAATGATCCTATGTAAACCTTAGCCCGAGTAATGTTCTTAATACATGTATGCTAATAATCTTTTCCTTCAACATTGTTATGAAAAAGGGTGTATAGAAAGACTAAGGCCAAGTTGTCTTATACTTTTTTGTTTTAGGTCTCTAGTGTAATTTAGCCGAAAACTGACATGTCAGAAGCTTCAAAGAAGGGGTGTAGCTTTAATTTAAAGGACAGCGATGCTGGCCCACCACAGCTGGCTGTTGGTCTTCCATCCATAAAAGACGTTACAACAACATTGAAACAGCCAGATCTACCCTTTGATGTTCTACTGTTAACCGTTAAGGACTGTGAGTTCTTATCCTGTTACAATCAGCTAAAAGATCCCTACAGATATTATTACAAGGATGTTGGTTACGTTTACTTCAACAACGTTCAAAGTCATGAAGAGAAAGTAAAAGTTGCTCTGCTAAGATGCAGTGAAGGTGCCATTGGCCCAAGCAGCTCTCTGATTGCCGTCAAGAATGCCGCCCCTATTTTACAACCCAAAGCCGTGATATCTGTTGGGGTATGCAGTGGCCTCAATCCTGATAAAACCAAGTTAGGAGACGTTGTTGTATCAGCCAAACTAACAACATATGGATCCAAAGTGGTGACAAGCGAGCAAGACCAGTGGGCTGGCATGAGTAGTCACGTTAGCAAGCTTTTCTCAAAAATAATCTTGAACTGCGCTGATGGATGGCAGGCACCTTTAAAGAACCCAGAAGATCGTCACGTCAAAGTTCACCGCGATGGCGAGTTCTTAAGTGGCCCAGAGCAGATCAGAGCTCAATGGCGCCGAAAAGAACTTATCGACCGCCATCCCCTCGCGGCAGGAGTAGAGATGGAGGGAGAAGGTGAGTGCATGTCACGTTAGCTGTGAACAATATCGTTCTTATACAGCTGTTTCAATTAACAATGTCGTATAATCAGTATAAAGGCTTCAAGCCTTCATCACAAAGACGCAAGGTTATATGGGTAGCTTTAAATCCTTCAGTTGTAATTCGGTCATAAAGGTCAGAAAGGTGCGGCTAACAGTACCATAAGTATAGGTAATAGCATGATTTGTAGTGATATTTGGCATAAATACCACAAGTGATATTTCAAAATTGTTATCCGTAATTTCACGAGCCGTTAGGCGAGTGAAATTTGAGACAATTTTGAACTATCACGAGTGGTTTTTATGCCAAATATCACGTACAAATCATGTTATTATTTGTTTATTCTACTACCCGCAAAAGGTTTGTAATTTTCACCTGTAGGTATTTCAAAGTAAGCTGAAACACAACTGCTCTAAGGCAATCAAATTGCAGAAATTTCTCATGTAGTAGTATAAAATACTTTAAAACGTCACAAACGTTTACCTTTATGGCTGGGATTGGTAACGAAATATTTATGAAATACACTGGAGTCCAGTTTCGAGTTCCCTATGACCGCTGAATGAAAGAAGTGAAGAAGCATTTTTTACAGGGTTAGCCTCCACCAAAAGTAAATATATTCTCAAATCCAACGAGAGGGAAGACCTGTTTGTTACTCTGTTTATTGTGTATTCTTAAATTTCAAACACTTACTTGCCAAAATTTGTGAATATTTTACTTTATGTCGAGGTTAACGCTCTATGAATGTGTCGTTAATGTTTGTATTCAGCGGTAATTTTGAATTCGAAAAAGGACTATTAGCCGTACTGCTTTGCAGTCTCAGCAGGTAGGCTTTTTGACATCTGTTTTGGGATACATGTATTACTCAAAGTTTTTGAAAGAGTAGAGCAGGTGCCAGTGTTTTTTTCTGGGAGGACGCGCGCGCCCGCGGGAGAAAAGGAAAGGAGGGAGGCCTCCTCTCCCCTTCGCCTGTTTTTCTCGAGCGCTTTAGAAAGCGGACCAAAAAAACTATTACCTTCATGGTAATTACTTGGAGTATTAGTGGTCCGATGTATTAGATCATAATGTGACAATACGTGTTTAAACAATTCACTGCGATAACTGGTGCACTGTTTGCGCCATTTTCGCGCAAAAATTATAGAGTAAAATTGAACAAGAAGCATACATGTAATCGCTAAAATAAATGGGAACATATGTCTGTGGTGTTTAAGTCTCATCTGGAATCGTCTGAATACGTACGACACAAACAGCTTTCGATGAAGATGCAGAACTTTACAGCTGCAAACTTAAGTTAACGGAACGCCAACGGAATGTGAAATGAACCTTTTTCGCTTATAACAATGAAGTGATTGGATAAAACATGTTCATTGTAAGAAAGGTTGCTGTCAGCATAGCCTGCGTAGCATGGCGGTTTTGTCGAGCCGGGCGCAGGGCTAGGAGCGGCGTTGCCGCGAAATTCGGGCGCGAAGCGCGCGAGAACGAGCGCCGAAGCCGCGAGAAAAATAAAAACCGCCTGCCCGGATTCGTGGCCTTTTCAACTGCCGCCCCCTTCAACTCATTTTGACATCCTGTTGACAACTTGTTTGGTTTCAGTTTTCCCAGCCAATCAGAAATAAAGTGTTGACAGCCTAAACACGACACAAAAGCTCCTGACCTTGACCTTGGCCGGAATTGGAGTTTGCTTGAACAGACACAGGTTTTTTCTTTGTGGCTATCTCGCGCATAGGTGACTACACTGCGTTCTAAACTTGACTGAGTAGATCTTATTTTTGCTGCACTAAGTCTTACATTTATTTAGAGGTCATGAAGTTGGTTTGTTTAATCCGTATCGAGTAATTATTTCCTGTGGTTAATGTTAGTGTTGCTAATTAGAATTTGTTGATCTCAGATGCAGTTGTAAAGTACTAATTTCTTTGACCACTCTTAAAGCCTAAAGCTCTTTATTACGGCTAAAATGCCTGGATCTGGATAACTACAAACCAAGGAGCGCTGGTTTGTAGTTTCTTTGTGCGTGAATGTTTTGACGCTGGGCCCGGCTTTTTAAGTGTTGTTTGCAGGATGTTGTATTTTTACGTATAGCGCGATCTTCAGATTTGAGTTGTAGCTTAAACTTAAGCTACACCAAGCAAAAAAGTATGGAGAATTACGCTGTGCGTCTTTCTTCTACTGTATGCCATTCATCGACCACAATCGCGGACACCGTTCGATGTATTGCGCTGGAGTGCGTTATTCTCTAACACCGAGTAATAGAGAAAATTGAGGTGAACTTTCTCGAAGCACTGAAATTTACTGTTTTTGTCATAAGGTCCATTGCTGTACAGCTCAGGACAACATTTCAGATATCTGGTCGTCGATAGTACTTTTTAGAGGGGAAATTGTGATCATACAGGTTTTCGATGAGGATATTTCTTCTTTGGCCATAGCAAAGACAGTAAAGATCATGCTCTTGCCAAATCTTGTTAACAAAATTTCCATGACATCTCTCTTTTGAAGAAGACTGTAAATGGCCATTTCCTGTTTAGGCTTCAATACAATGGCCCTGTTTTCCCGTCAAATATTCAAGATCGACTACGCTCCGGTCAACGCTTCTTTGATATTTTGATTTTGTTTTGCGGAGATGATTTGTTCAGTCCCTCGAAACTCTCCCATGGGAGATTACCAAAATATTTGATTGACAGGCGAACATTCCGAACCAATCGGAACGATCCGTACGCTGGCGTACGGACCGACTCAAAAAAGCCCCGCGTCCGTGCAGGCGGTTTTTCAAGTTGCTCCCGCCTCAATCTCCTCGCGGTTTCTCTGCCCTCGCCCGCCTTTATTACGTAGCGCGCCCAACCAAAACCGCCATGCTACGCAGGCTACTGTCAGCAAATCAAAAGAAACGGCGTGAAAATCATAATCTGTCGTTGGGATCTGGCATCCCTTGATTCGGTGTTTTCTTGTCTCTGGTCAGTTTACTTCCAGTTTGTAATCAGAAAGACATTTTTGTGAAAGTTTAACCGTAATTATTGGAAAGAAAGATTTACACATGCGTCTATGCGCAAGGCAATTATTTTTTTAGTTTCTTTAATCCAGAAGACTCGATTTCCTAAACAGAATACTTCCTAATTCTATTCCATATTTCAGGTGTTTTCACAGCTGCATTTGATTCTCAACTCGAGTGGCTCATTGTTAAAGGGATAGCTGATTTTGCGGATGGTGAGCAAGCGACTGCAGAAAGTTGGGAGGCCTGTGCTAGTATGATGGCAGCATCTCTTGTCTCACACATTTTAAGTGATCCTTGTGTTTTTCGCACGTGGCCTCATTACTCAGGTATAAATTCTTGTCAGTTTGGTATGTGATGATTAGGCGCAGGGGTAACAGGCCGAATTTGCCGTCCGTAAAAGAAGTCTTGAATGTGCGGTATTGAGTGAGACAGTGCGGAAGCTCAGATCCGAGATCAAAAGGCTTGTCAATATTTTTGTCCGTTTTGAGATTCCATCTTCATTGCCAAGCGGCGTGAAATTAAGAGTTAGTTTAAGAAATTGAAATTCAGGGTTTAATTCACGTTCTGGTTCTGCACTTTTTCACACGGACTTTACAATTCCGAAAAGTAAAACTGTCAAAAAACTACATACACTCTTCTCTCGTTCTAGCCTAGATCAAAAACTTAGCGATAAGGGTATTTTAAGGCTCTATTGTCTTTCACACGCGTGTCACTCAAAAATGTCAGTTTTCAGGTGCTTAAGCGACTTATCAGTTCAAATAGTAAGACGATCGACGCTAAATAGGCTCGAGGTTCACTTCAGAGTTTGAGGTCCTACAAAACTAGTTCAAATTCAAAAAGTTCCGTAATGTCACGCACGAATTCTGTCACAGTTAGAAAGAAGCACTTGAGAGGATTGGGGTCGTTACCTCAACAACTTTAAGTCTAGCACATTGAGAGTTAGACAAACTTCAAGAAAATGTGCGTCGTTTCTGGTCAAAAATTCAGATTATACATTCTTTCCATAGCTATAAATTGCGTATCGACTAAGAGTAAGACAAAAAACGGTAATGATGTCTTTGGCTGATTCTTTCAGTGGACGGTCTCTTGGAGGCTCAGCACGATAGTTCGAGGAAGCGAAAGCTAGGTGAGAACCATGCAGGTAACATATAAACATTCAATTTTTAAAATGTTCTTCTTTATTTAAAGCTGACCTATTTCACTCTTTGCTTCACTTTGATGTTAATGAGTCGCCCCACCAATGCAATCCGGGAAGTCTTTCGCTCATGGAATCCGGAATTTTGGGCTTTGGATTCTGGAATTTAACTCTTGGATTCCGGAACTCAGCCCCAGGAATCCGTAATCCCGCAGCAATTGGAATCCGTAATCCAAGTTCAACTGACAAGGGATCCGGAATCCGGTATGTGGAGTCCAGAATCCACAGCGTGGAATCCATGCCAGGGTCAAAGACTTTCTTGGATTACCTTATATGGGGCGAAATAAGCAAAACATTCATCATGAGGCGCGTACAGCGCCGCATATGCGCCTGACAGAGTTGACTTTAAGTCAGTTTATTCTTGTGTACGGAATCACAGTCTATTAAAAGAAGGAAATGTGCTAGTAAATCCACCCAACTCAAACTCAAATACGCTGTCGTCGGCCTACAGCTATTTTGATTAACGTTGCAGTAGGAAAGTCTTTGCGATGAGATCGCAATTCAGTATGGGTAATTCCATATAAAATTTACCGAATTCTGAAGAAGGTAAAAGTTTGTGACGTTTCATATATACCATTCTGTGGCACTGTCAGCCGTGAATGTATGATAAAATTGCAAAGAATTTACATGCAGCTACCCACATGACCTTGCAGTCTTGTGGAGTACGCATGAGACGACGAGGTTAACTGAAATAGATGTACATGATGTGGCCCGCGTCTCAACCAACGATCTTCTTCAACAGGTGCTTCTTGCGATGACCAGGTCTCAAGACAAACCAAAAGAGGAATGTATTGTGACCACTTATCTCAGCAAAACGAATCCATAACCCAGCAGCATCTTGCAGGTATCTTTCTCTAACAACGCACTGAAATTGTGACACTTTATAAGTCTATAGTCAGTCTATGGTTCGCATTATGTTAGTACAGCTTTCGAAGAAACCAACAGTAATACCCCTAAAATGCTCAAAATTGTGCGGTATGGTAAAGTTTTCTGCTTTAATAAAGCTTCTTTTTATTTAGGAAAAACCTTAGACGCAAAACAGCTTTGATTTGCGTTTGTAATGAATACATTCACTCATCAAACAGAGAGTGAAAACGGAGAGTGATACTGGAGAGAGTGACTAATTTTCGAGTGGGGCTCGCGTGCGACACACGGCGTCCACGGCGCTCTGTGTCTAACGAGCAGCGTTTAATTTTCTCAAAGAAAAATACTGTTTGGCAGTCTAGGAAAAAAATGAGCCTACCACAAGCCATTTTAACATAGAAAATAGACCTTCCCACGTATTTTAACAGTTTTGATTTGGACCATTTGGCTGGAAAGAAGACCTTAAAATCACTTGCTGAGTTAAAGAGTGATTTGGTTAAAACTAACCAACATGTAGCTCCAAAAAGACGCGAAGTTTTACAGACGTTTGTATGGAAGAAAGCAAGTTCATGCCCCCCACCATACAAAAGTCTGTATAAGATTTCGGGACTTTGTCACGGTTGAAGAATATCTTCGCTCGCTCTGAACATATCGCCTTTAAACAAGGTAAGTTTTAAGGCGCTCTCCAGTAGTGTAGTGTCGATGGATAATTGCTTACTTAAAATCTTGGAAGGGTCTATTAAGTGCAAATTACATAAACGACGTAAAGACAAACCTGTGTTGGGTTTTGTAAATATTTCTTCACATAATTCATGCTTCTTCTTAATTAGGATTGAGAATCATTATAGTTATCCCAAAAAGGTCGTCTATATCGATCTTCAACTCGTTCGTTTTGCAACGTTACAAAAGCATAAAAGCGTATCGTGGACGATATACAGAGCGTGAACGGCTTGTATGACAGTATAATAAAACCAAATCGATCTTATTTTTTGGATCTTGTATTTCTCAGGGGTGCCAGCTATCATAGAAAGGATTCGTCAGCTTTACAAACGTCGTGAAGGACGGCTGGTACCATTTCCATGGTGTGATGACCTTAATTTCAACTTGAATGAGATTTTTACCCGACTGAAGATCGTGAACAAAGAAAAAACGCGGGGAACATTGACGGATGATGAAATCACCAACATGACTGCTATCTTTAGACCCCACCCTGGTTGCCCGAAACCACGGATTCTTTTGATCGAAGGAGAACCTGGCATGGGAAAAACCACCTACTCACAAAAACTGGCGTATGACTGGGCAAATAAACAAGATGAATGGGACACGTCTTTTCCATCAATTGAAGTGCTGCTCTGGCTTAGATGCAACGATGTTAAATCTGGCATCTGGGAAGCTATTGACGACCAACTTCTTCCTGATGATATTGACGAACAGGCTAAGGAGAATTTTTTCAAATACATCCGAGAAAATCAGGCGAAATGTTTGCTACTGCTTGATGGATTAGATGAGGCAGATTCCTTTAAACTGGACATGTACTACTCGCTCGTTCAGAGCAAACTCCTCCCAGCTTGTCACATTGTCATTACATCTCGCCATGAGGTTGGAAAGAAAGTAAGGCCATACTGTGACGCCCTGTGGGAGATTGTAGGATTTACTAAAGAGGATGCGAAAAGTTTTATCAGGAAGTATTTTAAAGGCAAGGAACACTTGGCTGAGAAGCTGATTGAACGATTGAAACTTCTAGAGTATGATGATGATCCACTTAAAACGCTAGGCGAGTTAACAAAAAATCCACTCAATACAGCTTTACTCTGTTGTCTTTTCGAGGATTTCGAAGGTGTTCTTCCAACAAGCAGGACTGAGTTGTACGTTGAAATAGTTGCCTTTGTTTTGAGAAGATACGAAGTAAAAAACGGACTTAAAAGCAGCGGTGAGGACTTGATTTCAGGTTATAAGAAAGAACTTTTGCTTTTGGGCAGGTTCGCGTTAGAATCCCTGCTTAAAGGAGAGTTGTACTTTGAAAAGAAGGAAGATACCGTCAAGGGTATCAATTTTGGATTCTTGTCTTTTCAACAAGGTGCCGCCAAGCGCAAACCTTCCACGCGCTGTGCATTTTTACACAAAAGCTTTCAGGAGTTTTTTGCTGGCCTTTTCCTTGCGTTTCAGGTTATCAGCAAAGAAAGAGACTTAACCTCAGTTGTAGATGATAAGAGATACTTAGATAAACTGAGACAGGTCTTTTTGTTCATGAGTGGCATCATAGCCTCACGGAGTGAAGAAACTGCAATGTCGTTCTTTATTGTTATTGCTAAAAAAATCAGCTCTGCCGAAGACCGTCAATCATATATGAGTTTAGCTTGTGAGTGTTTGTTGGAATGTTCAAGTGTCCAGGACAGCCTTGAAACTCGCTTAGTTTCTAGTTTAGGTAAGTACCTTGACATGTCGTCCCTGACTGAAGTAAATTTTAGGGGCACAGGGATACACGATGCTGGTGCTGCTGCGATTTCCATGGCCCTGACAGTAAACTCCTCCCTGACCAGTTTGGGTTTAGGTAGTAACAGAATTGGCGACGCCGGCGCTTCTTCTCTTTCTCAAGCTCTGACAGTAAACTCCTCCCTGACTATTTTGGATTTAGGTGATAACAGTATTGGCGAGGCCGGTGCTTCTTCTCTTTCTCAAGCCCTAACAACAAACACCTCCCTTACTAGCTTGTATTTAGAAGGTAACCGTATTGGCGACACCGGTGCTTCTTCTCTTTCTCAAGCCCTAACAACAAACACCTCCCTTATTAGCTTGTATTTAGATGGTAACGGTATTGGCGAGGCCGGTGCTTCTTCTCTTTCTCAAGCCCTAACAACAAACACCTCCCTTACTAGCTTGTATTTAACTCATAACAGTATTGGCGACGCCGGTGCTTCTTCTCTTTCTCAAGCCCTAACGACAAACACCTCCCTTACTAGCTTGTATTTAAGTCAGAACAGTATTGGCGACGCCGGTGCTTCTTCTCTTTCTCAAGCCCTAACAACAAACACCTCCCTTATTAGCTTGTATTTAGATGATAACCGTATTGGCGACGCCGGTGCTTCTTCTCTTTCTCAAGCCCTAACAACAAACACCTCCCTTACTAGCTTGTCTTTAGGTGGTAACAGTATTGGCGAGGCCGGTGCTTCTTCTCTTTCTCAAGCCCTAACAACAAACACCTCCCTTACTATCTTGTTTTTAAGTCATAACAGTATTGGCGAGGCCGGTGCTTCTTCTCTTTCTCAAGCCCTAACAACAAACACCTCCCTTATTAGCTTGTATTTAGATGCTAACCGTATTGGCGACGCCGCTGCTTCTTCTCTTTCTCAAGCCCTAACAACAAACACCTCCCTTACTAGCTTGTATTTAAGGTATAACAGTATTGGCGACGCCGGTGCTTCTTCTCTTTCTCAAGCCCTAACAACAAACACCTCCCTTACTATCTTGTTTTTAAGTCATAACAGTATTGGCGAGGCCGGTGCTTCTTCTCTTTCTCAAGCCCTAACAACAAACACCTCCCTTACTAGCTTGTATTTACATGATAACCGTATTGGCGACCCCGCTGCTTCTTCTCTTTCTCAAGCCCGCACAGCAAACTCCTCCCTCAAGAATCTCTCCTTTTGAGTGCCAGCAGTATAGGCGACGCTGGGGTTTGTCTTCCCAAGGCCGTCACAGCAAACTCCAAACGTGTACTTTGAGATAAGGCTTTCAAATAAGCGAAATCCCGAGAAACGTGCCCCGAGCAAAGCGACTGTGTGATAAGCCGTACTTGTTAACGAGATCGTTTCGTGTCGTTTGAATGTAGTCGCCTCGGTCCTACTTACTTGATTACATCTTAAAACGATACGAAACGGTTCAGTATAAATGTGATTTAGTACGGTTTTCGATGAGTTCTAAACTATGTTACTGTTAGTTTCAGTAACGGTATAATCACGTTGTATAATAGCATTTCGAGTTGTTGTTTATCAGTAGCTCAATAAAAGCTACTGCTGTATGTTGAGACGTGTCCGTTCCACAAAGTTAAGCCCTGTAGGACGCGGTTAGTTTTGGATGGATGACCAACTCGGAGTCCCCTCTGACCTCTTTTTCAGTGCTGATGTTTTGCGATTGTTTGATTTTCTTTTTCTTAACTTTTAGAACTTCCATAACTTTCAAAATAACTGCCAAAAATTGTTTTCAATCGATACATCTATCAGAAATGCAAACAGCTTTTATTGATGGGCATTTTATTTTATCGAGGAGTCTGCGCGAGGGTCTTTGTTACCGCAGAAGCTCAGATGGGCTTCTGATTACCATAAACAATATATATTTTATTTACGTAAATTCAACTTTAAAAAGGCAGGTGCTAAAATTAATTCATTAAAAGAAAAAATAATAATTTAAGAATATAATCCTCGTTACGCTGTCCACCATTGCGCCGTTTTAATAATAACAACCTTTTTTTGATTTTAAGATTTTTTCTTCTTCACTGTGATTCTTATTTGTGTATAAGGAAAACGTTTTTTAATGATATAATCTCGAAATATCCCATCTTTTATACTCTGAATGAAGAAGATAAAATATTATTCCTTTTTAATAACGTAGATAATTTTATTTGTAAAAAATCGGTTATTTTGTTTTCGAATCTTTCAAGAAAACGAAACAAGAGTTAGGATGTTGTAACTGATTATTAATTATTATATATTTTGCAATTCATTGCTGCATGTATTTTTCTATTATCATCATCCTTTATTTTTCTTCTATGCAATTCAATCTATGTAAATGGCAATTCAAAAAAAGTTGTTGTTGTTGTTTATTAATTAATAAATAGGTAATATTTTCGTACGAATTCCTTGTCGTTATTATTTCTAGATTTGATATCCATCTTCTATTTTCACTAGACTTAATTGTACCAAGGGGATGAGAGGAAAAAAAACCTTCGTCTCTGGCCTGATTCTTGAGGTGAATTGGGAGGAGGCTCCACCCAGAGACCCACCCCCTTAGTTTACCCTTTAATATACCATTTTTGACAGAGACGGTGGGCATTTTATACCTTCCATTAAAAACTGGTACCTCTTACACATACCCTCCAACAGAAGTCTTCTTATCATTGCGGGCGAGCAAAAGCTACTCGCAAACGTATTCTAGGTGGGGTGGTCAGCAGCAATTTATAAACTGTATAGTGAGGTTTTCCCACAATTAGGCCTTTACCGATTGCGCTCGTAAAATCCTAAAAAAGTGCTGGCAAAAATGGCTAAAAAGTGCTCAAAAATTGCTCAAAATCTCAAAATAGTGCTCAAAAGGTGCTAAAAGTTGTGAACAGTTACCTCTAAGCTTTTCGTAAATATGTCAATTTTTACTGAAGTAATTAACAATCTATTTTGCGTAGTGTTATTTGACGAGCCGGTTATGTATCGGTCAAATCGAAGCTTCAACATGCCCCCCCCCCGGGCATTTGACTTTTTCGAAAATTATTGTTCAAATTCCCCCCTACCCGGGCGAAAATGCCGTTCAAATGCCCCACACTAGAGTCCTTTCAGATGATCAAATGCCCCCACCCTGGGGACATTTCACAGGCACATAAATGACAGAAGTACGGCAGAAACGCCTTCAGTCGTCCAACAAAATCTTTATAAATACAGCAAATAATTTGCATTCAATATAGCAAAAACTGAGAAACACTGTTAGCGTATTTACTACGAACAAAATTCTCGTGCAAAGCGGCGAAAATCGCTGCTACAAGGTCACTGAATGCTCAGATTTTCTTCATACAAAGCGTTCTATAAAAAAATCCCACCTATTGAGATGCAGCAAGTCAAAGTAATTGACCTATGTTGAGCTTTCTATTGTTGTATAGAATCGCCGGTAATAGGTATTGTATTTCCTTGTAAATTCATGTATTCAAAGCCTAAATCCAAAAATATTAAAGAATTTAAAAATATTAAAATTTAAATACCTTCAAATACGGCACAAAGCTTTCCTCGTAACCAATTGGCCACAAAGGCACAATCTTTTCCACGAAAATCCTCTAACACCGCGTCCCCCATGATAGCTCACCACGCCAGAGATTTCTCATGAAATCGAGGGTGCAGTTCAAATTCCCCACCCCTGACACACGGGGATCAAATTCCCCACCCCCTGGAAGACTCTGATAATCAAATTCCCTCCTCCCCGGGACGGCAAAGGTGTCAAATGCCCGGGGTATGCCCGGGGGGGCGGATGTTGAAGCTTCGATTTGACCGATACATTGTAAATAACTTCAGCAGTACTAGCATCAGATGATTTAGAAATTTGAGATGACACACGCATGATACATCAGCCAATCAGAAACTTCTGTTCTCACGCTCAGTGAGGATAAGTCCACGTACCTTTCCATGACAGTCTTTTATTCTTGACAACATCATTAGTTATTCAAATTATGACCTGGAACACGATTCTCGTTGCGAGCGACACACAGTTTTTGCTTTAAAATGTTTTAGAAGACATATGTTGCTCGAAATTTGCTCGAAATGTGAAATATTGCTCAAATGTTGCCCAAAGTGCGAAAAAGTGCTTAAGGGTGCTCAAAATGCAAAATAGTGCTCCAGACTCAAAAAAGTGCTCAAAAGGTGCTCAGCGCAATCGGGAAAGGCCTACCCACGATCTGTACACATTCTTGGGATGCCTTTGTTCTACGTACTGATATGCATGGGATGTGGCCACGAATGCCCTAGTGTTTCACCTGATATCACTGTAATAGCGTGAATGCTCATGCAAGTGATGCAACAATATTTGATCGAATCGAAAACACACGTAATTCAGATACACACGCACTGTTTCACGCACTGTGCTAAATGCGAGACTTTTCCACTCGCCCTGCCGGCAGGAAATCTGTTTACCAAGGAAAGAAATTAGCTGATCTCAGCTTAATGCGAAACGGAGTCTTCGGTAAGATACGAGTGTTGGCAAAGTCTAGAAATCCATGTAAATATTTCAAAGTTAATTCAGGTTAAACTTCAGCGTCTGGTTTTTATATTTTATACGTTTCCAAGTATGTTCCGTCACTTGCCATCTGCAAGCATCAATAAGCTTAGCTTTAAACTAAGCTTTCTATTTCATGTCATCGACCTTTGGCGATTGAACACGGATTGAATACCCGATTAAATAATAAGACTTCGTGCAGTCATGACTGTCTTTACCTTTCAACGTTATGTCAGGCATTACTTTATTCTTGTATTTCCTGCTTTTTGTGCAAAATACGCGGTAGATATCCGTGATATCTGGCTGCCTGCAAAGGGCAAATTCCTTAGTTATAAACTAAGAGCTCTACTTATTTTGTCGAGCAATAATTGATCGCTTGTTGTAGTCCTGGTGTAGAATAAACATTGTCTTTTTCCCGTTTTGCACACGATGCCCTCGACAGTTCTTGAGTAAGGTTTCATTCGTCGAGCCTCAGTGAAACTAACTTTCTGACTTTCCTTGTAGATCTCCTCATATGGGGCGTAAGAGGAGGGTGGACACACAAGAACGCGCGCGTCCTCTTATTTCGCGGTCGGTTCTTGTTTGGTTTCCAAAATCTTTTGGGCGCCTGCTACGCAAACTTGCGCATGTATAGGAGCATGCGGCAAATACATCGAGAGAATATTTTAGGAAAGAAGAGAGTGGAAACAGAAACGAGAGAGAGCACGCTGAGGCTTTTGTGATGAGGTGCAAAGCAGTAGCAGTTGACAGAGAGCCAGATAGGTGTGGAAACTCCGTGTGGAGGCCTTAAGTGCCATGTGACACAAGGGGTGACCACCCTTGAAGTAGAAATCATCCATTATACTGAACTTTGATGGACAATTCGGCTCGCGCGGCCAAGGTAAAAATACCTCAGTCGGTAAAAATAAAGTGTGCCAAATATTATAACCAAACATATTTGTCAAAAAGCATTATAGTTTGAGCTAATCGGTATAATAGTATTATTCTTGAGGTTGTATAAACGCGACTTGATAAATGAGTCTGAAAGCGTAGTGAAAAGAGGTTGAAAATGAGAGGCTGAACCAGGAAGGCAGATTTATTGATAACGGTCGCATTGTGAAAATAGGTGATCCTTACCAAACGGAAATTGATATATAAATTATGCTTGTGATCTATTGTAATTAAATGCTTTTCATATATAACTTCTTATCATTTGGTTTAAGGAAGCGGGACAGGCAAATCAACCGCGAAGAAAGTAGAAATTACACGTCATTTGTTTCTTTTGTTTTTTTTCTCAAAAGTTCTGTTGAAAAAGGCTAAATATACATTCTTTAGAAACCTAGTAAAATACATTCCTTGCGGTTTAAGCATCAAATGTCACATTTGTTAGTCGGACAAGTACATTTTTGTTCAATTTAGAATCGACAGGGACTACCTTTACAGCTTCTCCTGTAGCTACATGCTTTGGGGCAAATGATTGAAAACTTAGAAGACTGCCGGTCTTGACTGAATTGTTATAACACTTACTTGGTTAAGTGTGTTTTCTGATTTATGAAGGATGCACTTTGCTATTGATTTCGATTGCAAGCAATTCTAATTTGAATATCCCTTACTACCTATCATGTAGAAATGCAAAAGATTTAGACTGGAAGTACCAACCGCGTGATACATTTTTAACTTCATAAACACACGATGTATTAACTGCC